CGGAGATTTTCCTCGACAATTCGGGCCTCCAAATGTTTGACCCAAGAAACATCCGGCACCCCCGTTCGGAAGAATGGTCTCCTCCTGAGCATTTGGCAAGGTTTATGCACTTCTGGCTCAGAAAACCGCTAGACAAGGAGGTTAGAAACCGGATGAGATCCGAATGCCCTCGCCCTAGTCTACCGGACAAAGTGACGCACACCCCCGAGTTTGACCCGCTCATGACTACGTTCATGTCCCGAGGGGGTCGGGATCCGCGCAAGGGCATAGAGCGCGGCTTTAAAGAGCGCAAGATAAGCTGCTAGATGCCATTGGGCCACTAGCCAGAATCATGGATATGGCGGATGAAGCCTATGAGAGGGCTGACACTTTTACCCCAGATACGGTGCGTGAATGGGCACGAGATACCCGTGAATGGGCACAAAGGTGTTTCTGTTTCTTAGGGAACACCAACGTAGCCCTCTCTTCGGAGAGGCGCCGAGCAGCACTTTACCGTATCGACGAAAAACTGGTCGAACTGGGGGATAAGGAATTAGGACCCTTAGCACAGGGTAAACTATTTGGAGAGGCCTTCCTTAAGGAATTAAATAAAAGGGTCAACATATTCACGTCCCTTAACAAGGCACAATCTTCAATGCGGAAAGTCTTCCGCGGTTCCCACACCCGTGGTGTTTTTGGAAGGGCTGGACGGCAGAGGGGCCGTGCCGCCAGCCGTTTTTGGCCATCCGGCCCCCGTACAACAAGGACTCAGATTTTCTACCCAGACTCATCTAGTCGAAATAGATTCAACCACTTCAGGGGATCTGATCGTGGCCGAGGCACCCGAGGACGCTCGCGAGCAAGATTCTCCAACGGTAAGTCGGAATCTTACTCTTCCTCTAACCCCCTGTCATATCGCAGGTCGTGTCTCTCTTTTTTTCCAGAACTGGAAAGAACTATCTTCAGATGCGTGGATAATCCAAACGGTGCAGGGCTATCGAATAGAGTTCGACTCGACCCCGCTCCAGCTGACCCCTCCACGTCCAATCCAGACTACACGGGCAGATGCCCGCCTCATAGACGCGGAACTCCGAGAACTCCGCTCCAAAGGTGCCATTCAACCGGCTCCGGATGCCACCGGTTTCTACAGCAATATCTTCCTGGTCAGGAAGAAAACAGGCGAATTTCGCCCCGTTATCAATCTCAGGGAGCTCAATTCGCATGTAGTATATCGACACTTCAAAATGGAAGGTATACACCTCCTCCGGGACTTGCTTCGACGCGACGACTGGTTCACTCGTCTGGACCTCAAAGATGCGTACCTTACCATTCCGGTACACAGAAGCAGCCGTCCCTACCTCCGCTTCTTCTGGCACGGGATTCCTTGGCAGTTCACCTGTCTCCCGTTTGGCCTCAGCTCGGCCCCGTGGTGTTTTACCAAGATCATGAAGCCGGTAGTGGCAAGAATCAGATCCCAAGGTATAAGATGCATCATCTACCTCGACGATATCCTGATCTTCGACGAGGATGCAGACACTCTGCGGAGACATACGGAATACGCACTACACCTTTTGGACTCTCTGGGTTTCGTCGTCAACCGTCCCAAGTCCGCATTGACCCCGGCTCAATCTGTTCAATTCCTCGGATTCGTAATAGACTCCACATCATGCACTCTTCACCTCCCGGCTACCAAAATTACGGCAATCCGCAGGGAAATCCGGAAAGTCCTTCGTCGGACTACCATACCCCTACGATTACTGGCACGGATCGTAGGCCTTCTCTCCGCGTCCATCCAGGCCATTTTTCCCGGGCCCCTGCACTACAGGGCCATGCAACGCCTCAAGGCAAGTTTCCTTCGCAGACAACCGACATACGACCAACCGGTTCCAATGTCGGTCGAAGTTCGGGAAGAACTACACTGGTGGCTGAATTGCATGCAGGCTTGGAACGGCAGGGCCATATTCAGGAACCAGCCAGACTTCGTGCTGGAATCGGATGCCAGCCGTTCAGGCTGGGGGGCAACAGACGGAACCACGTCCACAGGAGGAGTCTGGACTTCCGAAGAGCTCTCGATGCACATAAATTGCCTGGAACTCTTGGCCGGGTCCTTCGCCATTCGCAGCCTGGCAAAGGACCGATCCAACTGCTGCATCCTACTCCGCATGGACAACGTCTCAGCGGTCAGATACATCAACCGCCTTGGAGGCACTCGTTCTCGAACACTGGCGGATCTCACGAAAGAGATCTTCGACTACTGCCTACCACGCAACATCACCTTGCTGGCAGAGCACTTACCAGGAGACTCCAATACGACGGCGGATTGGTACTCACGCCACTGGCGGGACGCCAGCGATTGGCAGCTAGACCCTCACATTTTCGCGCTACTGGATGCACAGAGGGGACCTCTCTACCTAGACCTTTTCGCGTCCCGCAACAATCGACAGACAGAAGTTTTCTTCAGCTGGCTCCCAGACCCGGAGAGCCTCGCAACGGACGCTTTTCTCCAACAATGGCCAAGGGACGGCGCCTACGCATTCCCTCCTTTCGCAATGATAACGAGGGTCCTTCACCGGATCCGTCTACAGGGAGTGAGAATAATTCTCATCACGCCGCTCTGGCAGAGCCAGCCATGGTTTCCGGACCTTCTGGAACTCTCAATCAACGACCCCCTCCTCCTTCCAGATGCCCCAACCATCCTCAGGAATCCATTGGGCCTTCCTCACCCACTAGTCCTGCAGGAACGCTTGCCCCTTGTGGCCTGGACTCTTTCCGGGGTTCCTGGAGAACCGAAGAATTATCGCAGGAAACTAAGGACCTGCTATGGGATTCATGGGCACCAGGAACTAGGAGGTGCTACTTATCAGCATGGCACTCCTGGACAAGTTGGTGTGTGGGACGGGACCTCAATCCCTTTACTGCACCTACTCACTCCATCATGAATTTCTTAACTTCACTTTTCACCGCAGGAAAGTCATACCGTTCCATCAATGTGGTACGGTCAGCCATCTCAGCGGCTCACACTCCGATACAGGGGATTCCTGTTGGTAAGGACCCGCTCATCTGCAGACTTCTCCGCGGTATGCGCCTACGGCGCCCCCCGGAACCTAAATACTCTAGTCTCTGGGACGTTGGCGTGGTCCTTCAATTTTTACGTAATTGGCCTCCCAACGAAAAACTATCACTCCGCCAACTTACCGCAAAATTCACCCTCCTGCTCTGTCTGGTTTCCTTTCGACGGGTAGCGGACGTACGCGCCTTTGATGCCAACGCGTTTACTTTCTGTCCAGCGGGTGTCACCTTTCAGATCTCACGTCGCACTAAGTCCAACTCTCTCTCGGTCTTCTACCCTTTCTTCCCTTCTGACCCTCAACTCTGCGTGGTCTCAACCCTCCGTCACTACGTGGAAGCCACCGCGACGTTGCGGCAACCTTCCACTCATCAACTTCTCATCTCTTACGTCCGCCCTTATGGTCCGGTCTCGGTTACTACACTGGCCAGATGGGTTAGGTGGCTACTATCCTTTGCCGGTATTGACCAAACTTTTGGAGCACACTCCGTTCGTGGGGCAGCGGCCTCTTCCGCTTATGCGGCAGGCGCGTCCCTCTCGGACATTTTACGAGCAGCGGACTGGACCAGAGAATCTACCTTTAGGACATTCTACTTTCGTCCTCTTGATAATCCGGCATTTGCTTTTCTTTCTCAGCGTTGAAATTGCAAAATACGAAGCCTCCTGTCATGTGATAAAATTGAAGATTATGCTAGCTTTAGTGTACAGATAATCTTAATTTTAATAATGACAGGAGGCGAGTATTTTCCCTCCCTGTTCTCTTTCGTTCTTCCCTCCCTTTATTTTCACTTCTACCTACTACACTTTGCTCTCTCATATGTTGGTATAATACCTGACACGATAGCTCTTGTTTAACTGCCTTATTTACATCATAGAGATTTATATATTTATATTGTTTGGGTGGGATACTTATTTAACACCGCTAGGGAGGACGTTTAGTTTATTTTATTCTCATGTTACTAGACGATATTAAAGTTGAATTATGGGACAGACATCCTTTGTTTTATACAATCACTTCTGGACTCTAACGCACCTTATACTCTCGTTTCAGCTTAACCAGGAGCTACACGGAATCATTAAAGTCTCCTTGCAAGATGTCGTCATCATCGCATCAGGAGATTCATCATCAGGTCTTCGTAGACCATCGTTTGACAAGGACACGTCTTCATCTGCATTCTACCTGTTCCGATTCAGTTTATTCTGATTAAGTTTCCAGTTTCTTGTTCTATGGACTTCTCAGCTGTTCGGTTAATTTTTTTCTACTTTTATGGTCTTGTGATGTCGCAAGTTTAAAAGAGGAAATGATGTCATAGGTCTCACCTCTTATACCCTATTCTACGTTGTGATTGGTTAAAAGTTTTGTCACTCATTTCTTTGCTGCTATGGAGATAGTAAAGAAAGATTATGCAAAATACTCGCCTCCTGTCATTATTAAAATTAAGATTATCTGTACACTAAAGCTAGCATAATCTTCAACTGTCTTTTAAGTCCAATTCTTTATTGTTAAAAAATAACTTTAATAAGAGAAAAATAAGTAGCAAGAGAGGTGAGAACAGACAACAGCCCAATTAGCCTGCCCTTCGGTGGATCCCCGCTCAGTTCTCAAGCTGGTTTTAGCTCAACTTGTGCCATTACAGAGAGAATATATCTGAAGCATATCAGACTGGTCCCACCCATATGAGCAGTCCAGATCTGAAATGCCAGCAAGTTCTCTCTGCATTTTTAATAATATTTTCAATAAATAATAATTATTTTTTTTCCCCACAATAAAGAATTGGATTTAAAAGACTGTGAGTGCCACAGTATTTTTGGATATATGGATGCAGAACCCAGGCTATATAACACCCGGCATCAAAAGGGATATTTTAACAAGAGTGCAAGAGAACCACTGATTTTTGTGTGTATATATATATATATATATATATATATATATATACAGAGAGGGGGTGAGTGTGTTGGTTCAATGCTTTTCCAGGGCAGCCCATGTGCAGAGTCCCGATGAAGAGCTCTCGCATGGGAGAACGCCCTGTGATTATTTTGCCCCGTGCAAGCAAATTTGCTTATGACTTGTCTCCATCAGTGGGATACCAGAGAAACTGTATTGTGCATGTGTTTGTGGGCTGCTTGAGGAATTGTGTGTGAATGCAGTGAGCTGTGTGTGGTGTGGTGTTTTGTAAATCTTTGATCTCCCCACCAGCCTATAAAGGTACACAGCAAGGCTGGTCTTTGAATTGTGCCAGCTCTGCAAGGGCCAGCAGGAGAGACCTCTGATCTCCCATGTCAGCCTCGGCTCATGGCCATCGTGACCCACCATTTGTCCACTTTGTTCGAAGCAAGTAGGGGCCTTTGTATGTATGTGTGTGTGTGTGTGTATATATAAAAAAGTAGAAAGAAGGGAAGGCACCTAGGTGCCGAAAAACCCAACTGGAGTGTGTGAGTCGAACTTTCTAGGGGGTAACCCTTGTATATATACAGTATAATAAAGAAGTTGGTGATCCCAAGCTGAAGTAGCAACAGGAGCACTTTGGAGAAAGTTCTACAATGAACTATGTTACAAAATAATAATTTTAAATAACTTTATTGAGGGTATCTACTAATAAGTATGATCCCAGATAAAAGAGACTATAGTAAATAAAACTTACTACACCATAACCACTAAAAACGTATATAATAGTATGGGGAGTGGTGGACACCAAACATAGAGAAAAAAGGGGAGCTGTAAAGATAGAAATCTGTAGCCTCAATGACTAGACAGAGCAGCCTAGATTGATAACCTGTCCTGAATAAAGACAGATATTGGTGATCTTAATTATCAAATCCAAATTGGGGAATGCTGTTATGTTCTCAACTTTGTGGTCAAAAAGATAAAAATACAGAATATGTCTGTATCTATCAAGTAGCCAGCTAGAGGGTAAGATACTGAAACAGTATCAAAGAGATAATAACTCCAAAAATGGAAACAGAAACATAGTATCTCATCTGCCTAGAAACGAGTGGTAGTCATGCACACAGCTATTGCCTGCAGAAAAGCCAAGTTTGCAATTTAAATATAAGAATGCTGACTGCTGCCACTGCTGGTATAAGGCAATCCCATCTGTTCCTGTGAAAGAAAAAAGATTCTACTCTCACAATCTGCTGATAATCGTCTACGGCTACTGACAGCTAATATGACCGAATCTAAATGGTAGAGAGTCCATATCCCCCACCCTGTGGTCACATCTAGGTGATGGAAGGTAAAACAAAAAAGAAAAAGGACCTAACGCACGTTTCGGCGCTCCCAAAGCGCCTTTGTCAAAGGTAAGTTTGATACTGTTCCTAGCTCCGTTTAAATATCCCTCCTATTCACCTCTCAGCCAATCAGGTCGTGGGGCGTGTTTTGTCCGAGCGCGCCCAAATGATGCCGACGGCATCGAGCTGTCAATCAACGTTTGTCACGCCCCGTGGGTGTGGACGGGGGTACGTGTCTCCAGCCGTATCATGCTTGACATCCAGCATGTCGGCAAGGAGACACAGCCTCCAATAATCTGCCGAACGTGTATAGATTAGTTTACAGTGACAGGCTAACGCTTCTGCCCATACGAGTAGGAACCCCCCATGGCAGAATATGCATCTCGGACATTGATCTAGTCCCAGACGCTGCAACAAATGATATAGGGACTCCTAGGGGGTAAATGTGATGAAAAAATGACAATTATACCGGTATAAATTGCTCTTTTGAACATGTGTATATATATGTCTAATTGAGCTGTCCTGGTAATCTAAATCATGAAGAACAAGCCCCAGAAGGACGCCCCTTTACAACTTGGAGAGGTTCAAAAAATCCAGGGGTGAAAAAGTTATTTACAGATGTTGTCCCTGGTCTAGATTGAACGAGGTGATAGGGGTGGATTACTCCAGAGTGGAGTGTGTCTAGGAGGTTAACATAGTATCAAGGAAACAAATAAAAATACATATAAAAGAAATCTCTAGTGGTGACATAAAGCTACTGAAAAAACAAAATATGATAGGTAACAAGACAACACATATCTATATACATAACTACAGGTTCAGTGGCCCTATATTTGAAATCCTCAGTAGATGAACAATTCCTTCTTAATCTAAGGTATTGACCCACCGGGATTCCTCTCTTTAGGGGGGTGGGATGATAGCTTTCCCATCTTAGTACATTGTTTGTAGATGTGGATTTACGGTATAAGGTAGTCTCTATCTCACAATCCTTCGTTATCCTGAGTGTACAGTCGAGAAAGTTAATTTCCTGATCCCCAAACTCCATGGTGAGTCTAAGATTAAGATCATTCGTATTGAGTGTTTCCACGAAGGTTTTAAAATGGGTTTGGGTACCCGTCCAGATGATAAGGACGTCATCTATATATCTCTTCCATAGATATATGAAATCCGTAAACTTTGAATTATACTCTGAAAAAACAATGTCTTTTTCCCACCATCCCAGGTGCAGGTTGGCATAAGATGGGGCACAAGACGTCCCCATCGCTGTTCCCTGCACCTGGTGATAATACTTATTCTGAAAAAGAAAAAAATTATGTGTCAGGATAAACCTCAATAGGTCTAACACAAAACCCGTATGTGTATTATGTTCAACACCCCTTTTCTTGAGGAAGTATTTAATGTGCTCAAGACCGCTTGAGTGTGGTATGGAGGAGTATAGGGCTTCTACGTCCAAACTGCAGAGTACTGATCCCAAAGGTACCTTGAGTGATGTTACACATATTAGAGTATCTTTGGTATCCTTCAAATATGATGGCAAGCTTTCTACAAATGGACGTAAAATTCTGTCCACATAGATGCTCCCTTTGCTGGTGAAATTCTTTGTACCTGATACGATTGGTCTCGCTGTCAGGTTTGTTTGTTTCTTGTGTATTTTAGGGAGGCAATAGAATGTGGAGATAGTTGGATTTTTGATAAAGATACTTGCATATTCGTCTTTTGATAGTACCCCCTGATCAAAATCTTGATCCAACATAATCTTATACTCCCTTTGATATTTCTGTGACGGGTCTGTGGTTAGTACTTTATAGGTGTTCTCATCAAATAAGATAGCCTCCACCATCTGTACATAGTGTTGTCTGTTTAATAGGACAATGTTGCCGCCTTTGTCGGCGGACTTAATGATAATGTTCTCATTGTCCCTAAGTTCACACAGTGCCCTCCATTATTTCTTTGGCAAATTCTCCCTTGGTTTAACTGTCAGCATGTCTGTATTTATAGCTTTAATCATATTTGTAGTGTATAAAGGTGTCAATATTTTTAAACTCTCTAAAGTTTGGAGTGAATTTGCTTTTCATACAAAGATCGGTATAAGGTGCTGTGGGAGTGGTGTCATTATCTTCCAACAGACACACCAGTTCCTGCAGACATTGATATTCTCTGGGATTAAAACCCAGTTCTTTAGCTCTTTTGTCATCTTTGATTTTAAAATATTTGTGTAGGGCTAGTTTTCTCCACTATATGACTTCAGACTATGATACATCTGATACAGACACAGAACAAACTTTAGCTCCAATTACCAACACCACTCCACAAAGCAATAAGGGAATTCTCAAGAAAGGGGTGGCTTTTTTAGGACAGCCCCCCCGAGAGGGGGAAGTTCAAACTCAAAGGCAGACCCGATACCGAGGAAGAGCACGCAGACGGTACTAGTTGATGACTTGAGAGTAGTCAACCTGTCAGATACCACTCTCACCTCCATACAAACTAAGGTATTAATGAGGGGGCTATCTTTTGTCCCGACCCCCCCCCATTTAACCAATTTGACTGGATTAAAGACATAAATTTGTTCGGGAGAAAACTAGCCCTACACAAATATTTTAAAATCAAAGATGACAAAAGAGCTAAAGAACTGGGTTTTAATCCCAGAGAATATCAATGTCTGCAGGAACTGGTGTGTCTGTTGGAAGATAATGACACCACTCCCACAGCACCTTATACCGATCTTTGTATGAAAAGCAAATTCACTCCAAACTTTAGAGAGTTTAAAAATATTGACACCTTTATAGACTCCACTACGAATATGATTAAAGCTATAAATACAGACATGCTGACAGTTAAACCAAGGGAGAATTTGCCAAAGAAAGAATGGAGGGCACTGTGTGAACTTAGGGACAATGAGAACATTATCATTAAGCCCGCCGACAAAGGCGGCAACATTGTCCTATTAAACAGACAACACTATGTACAGATGGTGGAGGCTATCTTATTTGATGAGAACACCTATAAAGTACTAACCACAGACCCGTCACAGAAATATCAAAGGGAGTATAAGATTATGTTGGATCAAGCTTTTGATCAGGGGGTACTATCAAAAGACAAATATGCAAGTATCTTTATCAAAAATCCAACTATCTCCACATTCTATTGCCTCCCTAAAATACACAAGAAACAAACAAACCTGACAGCGAGACCAATCGTATCAGGTACAAAGAATTTCACCAGCAAAGGGAGCATCTATGTGGACAGAATTTTACGTCCATTTGTAGAAAGCTTGCCATCATATTTGAAGGATACCAAAGATACTCTAATATGTGTAACATCACTCAAGGTACCTTTGGGATCAGTACTCTGCAGTTTGGACGTAGAAGCCCTATACTCCTCCATACCACACTCAAGCGGTCTTGAGCACATTAAATACTTCCTCAAGAAAAGGGGTGTTGAACATAATACACATACGGGTTTTGTGTTAGACCTATTGAGGTTTATCCTGACACATAATTTTTTTCTTTTTCAGAATAAGTATTATCACCAGGTGCAGGGAACAGCGATGGGGACGTCTTGTGCCCCATCTTATGCCAACCTGCACCTGGGATGGTGGGAAAAAGACATTGTTTTTTCAGAGTATAATTCAAAATTTACGGATTTCATATATCTATGGAAGAGATATATAGATGACGTCCTTATCATCTGGACGGGTACCCAAACCCATTTTAAAACCTTCGTGGAAACACTCAATACGAATGATCTTAATCTTAGACTCACCATGGAGTTTGGGGATCAGGAAATTAACTTTCTCGACTGTACACTCAGGATAACGAAGGATTGTGAGATAGAGACTACCTTATACTGTAAATCCACATCTACAAACAATGTACTAAGATGGGAAAGCTATCATCCCACCCCCCTAAAGAGAGGAATCCCGGTGGGTCAATACCTTAGATTAAGAAGGAATTGTTCATCTACTGAGGATTTCAAATATAGGGCCACTGAACCTGTAGTTATGTATATAGATATGTGTTGTCTTGTTACCTATCATATTTTGTTTTTTCAGTAGCTTTATGTCACCACTAGAGATTTCTTTTATATGTATTTTTATTTGTTTCCTTGATACTATGTTAACCTCCTAGACACACTCCACTCTGGAGTAATCCACCCCTATCACCTCATTCAATCTAGACCCAGGGACAACATCTGTAAATAATCTTTTCACCCCTGGATTTTTTGAACCTCTCCAAGTTGTAAAGGGGCGTCCTTCTGGGGCTTGTTCTTCATGATTTAGATTACCAGGACAGCTCAATTAGACATATATATATACATGTTCAAAAGAGCAATTTATACCGGTATAATTGTCATTTTTTCATCACATTTACCCCCTAGGAGTCCCTATATCATTTGTTGCAGCGTCTGGGACTAGATCAATGTCCTAGATGCATATTCTGCCATGGGGGGTTCCTACTCGTATGGGCAGAAGCGTTAGCCTGTCACTGTAAACTAATCTATACACGTTCGGCAGATTATTGGAGGCTGTGTCTCCTTGCCGACATGCTGGATGTCAAGCATGATACGGCTGGAGACACGTACCCCCGTCCACACCCACGGGGCGTGACAAACGTTGATTGACAGCTCGATGTCGTCGGCATCATTTGGGCGCGCTCGGACAAAACACGCCCCACGACCTGATTGGCTGAGAGGTGAATAGGAGGGATATTTAAACGGAGCTAGGAACAGTATCAAACTTACCTTTGACAAAGGCGCTTTGGGAGCGCCGAAACGTGCGTTAGGTCCTTTTTCTTTTTTGTTTTACCTTCCATCACCTAGATGTGACCACAGGGTGGGGGATATGGACTCTCTACCATTTAGATTCGGTCATATTAGCTGTTAGTAGCCGTAGACGATTATCAGCAGATTGTGAGAGTAGAATCTTTTTTCTTTCACAGGAACAGATGGGATTGCCTTATACCAGCAGTGGCAGCAGTCAGCATTCTTATATTTAAATTGCAAACTTGGCTTTTCTGCAGGCAATAGCTGTGTGCATGACTACCACTCGTTTCTAGGCAGATGAGATACTATGTTTCTGTTTCCATTTTTGGAGTTATTATCTCTTTGATACTGTTTCAGTATCTTACCCTCTAGCTGGCTACTTGATAGATACAGACATATTCTGTATTTTCATCTATTTGACCACAAAGTTGAGAACATAACAGCATTCCCCAATTTGGATTTGATAATTAAGATCACCAATATCTGTCTTTATTTAGGACAGGTTATCAATCTAGGCTGCTCTGTCTAGTCATTGAGGCTACAGATTTCTATCTTTACAGCTCCCCTTTTTTCTCTATGTTTGGTGTCCACCACTCCCCATACTATTATATACGTTTTTAGTGGTTACGGTGTAGTAAGTTTTATTTACTATAGTCTCTTTTATCTGGGATCATACTTATTAGTAGATACCCTCAATAAAGTTATTTAAAATTATTATTTTGTAACATAGTTCATTGTAGAACTTTCTCCAAAGTGCTCCTGTTGCTACTTCAGTTTGGGATCACCAACTTCTTTATTATTGTGTGTATATATATCCTAGGTCAGAAGAAGCCTGAGAAGGCGGGTGAAACATGTCATGGAGGAAGTCATAAAGAAGCCGACCCATGAGGCTCTCATGATCGAGAATCAGCGAAACCCGGAAGAGACTGTGTGCCGGTGGCATTTTATGTTTCCACTTACCTAGGTGTGGGTAGCATACCCACCACTGCCAAAGTAAAAGTTTTTAACGCCTTTATATGAATAAAGACAATGTGATATTATTCACTTGGGGGTTCCTGTCTCTCCGTTTAATATAGATAGATAGATAGATAGAGGGAGAAAGTATTGATGTGCATCCAACTGAATACCTCACCTGGGAACTTCCATTTGAATATCTTGTTGTGGAAACTATGACTCTCCACTGAAGCATTTCAAACCCAGAGCCAGGGGTGATAGGGCTCTGGTACATGTGAGTTCTCTCCCACACACACTTTATAATTTATGTACTTTTTATGTTTATGATATTATTTTTTAGGATATCATTTTAAGGATTTAAACTTTAGTTTAAGTGCACTGTGTTTTTCTGGTATATGTCTGTGAGTGTATATTTATGTTGTGTATCTGTCTCCATGATTGTGCCTGGAATGCATATCTGAGATAGTGTATTTCTATCTTACATCCAGCTGAGGCATGGCAATTGCAGGCTCCAGGGAAATCTGTGTGGCAATCTGTGCATACCTCTTCGGTCAGACTGAGTTCAGCACACTTTGCCAGCTCTGAATTTTCAATTGCCTGTGCAGAATGTGCTCTGCATGTCAATGATTTTATTAGGTTGCCGAGTCACCATTCATAACTTTGCGCCATCTATAGAAGCTGTAATTCTAAGTTCTAGACATGTGCAATTAGTTTCGTTCCGAATGTAAATTCGGACGAATTTCAGCAATTCGGACGTTTGCCGAACCGAACCGAATTACCGAAGTGGCGAATTTCAGAAATGCCCAACCGAAGCGGCGAATTTCAGAAGTGCCAAACCGAACCGAAGTGGCGAATTTCAGAAGTGCTTCGGATTTCTGAAAAGTGGCAAAACAAGAGAGGGAGGGAAAATTGCGGGACAGGAAACTAACCCTACCCCTAACCCAAACCCTAACTCTACCCCAAACCATACCCCTAAATGTAGATGTGTAAGTGGTTGTGGTGGTTAGGGTAGGGTTATGGGTAGGGTTGGGGTTAGGAGTAGGCTTAGGGTTGCGGTAGGGTTGGAGTTGTGGGTAGGGTTAGGGGTGGGGTTGGGGTTAAGGTTAGGGAATTGCCGAAGTGCCGAACCAAACTGCCGAAGTCCCAAATTTCGGAAGTGCCGAACTTAACTGAATTTTTGGCCCATGCACATCCCTACTAAGTTCATTTATAGTAAAATTAACACAGAATTTAAATTTTTCAAGTCACACTCCTTATCGTCGTTAATGGGTAAAATAGAAAATAATATTGTCAACAAAATATTTAACTCACTTTAATCTTACATCTAGCAAAATTATTTTTTAAACACAGAAAAGACAACCTGTACAAATTGGTTTTTTTTCCATTTAAGGACCAGTAGATATTATGAAGCTATTTTACGTAATATATACATTTTATTGTTTATTTCCGGTTTCAGTAAAATAATGTAACATTTGGGGAAAAATATACAACATCCAACTCCAATGCTTGAGGCCAATATAGCAAATATCTCAACAGCGACCATGTTTTTGCCTCTGCTGCTCAGATAAGCTGGAATTGCACAGGTCCATACACTGCAGAACACCAGCATGCTGAATGTAATGTATTTGGCTTCATTAAAGTTGTCCGGCAAGGTCCGTACCATATATGCTAGAATGAAACTCATAGTGGTCAGAAGCCCCATATAAGTCAACATAGAATAAAAGGCCAAGACAGAGCCTTCATTACATTGAATGATGATCTTCCCAGGAGAGGAATGCATGTCCAACTCATGGAATGGTGGGGAGGTTGACAACCAAATTATACTGATCAGGACTTGAACAGATGAGCAACTCAAGACTACATGATTTGACAAATTGGTCGTTATCAATTTCCTCCAAGGGCTGTTTGGCTTTGTGGCTCTGAATGCAATGTAGACCATAATTGTTTTGGCAAAAACAGAAGACAAAGCTACAGAGAAGGTAATTCCAAATGAAATGTGACGCAGCATGCATGTTATATTCACTGGGCGACCAAGGAACAAAAACACACACAATGAGCTCAGTGAGAGAGAGAAAAGGAGGGTGAAGCTCAGATTTCGATTATTAGCTCTAACAATGGGAGTTTCCCGGAATAAGAAAAATATTGCAGCTATTAAAGTGTTAATTACAACTGAGAATGTAGTTGAAAAACAAAAAAGCAGAGCTAAAGTATTATTTTCAAATGACAGAAACTCATTTATTTTAGGAAAACACTTCACTTGACTTTTGTCTGGCCACTCATGAGCATAACACTTCATACACTTTTCGCTGTCTAAAAAAAAAAAAATAAAGTAAATGGAACATGCTATGAATTAAAGAGCTTATATCTGTGGTAAAATATGGTAAATCATAATTTGTTACATTTATAATAATGACAATTACATTAACAATAAGAAGCTATCATTTCTTTTTAATTTATTTCTGTTTGTGCACATCGATAATAAAAATAATTAACAAAATGTAAAAATTAAATCAGAACTGCTTTTGACTGTTGTGCACCAGAAGCCATTGCAGGAAAGAGCAACAGCACTGGTGGTTGGAACAAAACAATATACTACCTCATTTTAAAATTTCTTCCACCCCAATCCTATGTGCACATGTGCAAAACATTGGCGTGCACACGGGGTGTGCCGGGTGTGTCTGGGCACACCCTAATCCCCGTGGCATGCCTATGGATTGAGACCGGCAAGGGAGATCTCAGGGTCCCCCTGTCGGCTCATGCAGAGCCAGCGCTATCCGAGCGCCGGCTCTGCTCTCAGCCTCCCTCCCCACTGCAGCAGTGAGGGAGGCAGGAGAGGACCCGGGGAGCTCAACCAGCAGCTCCGCCGGATTTCACACAGACACATAGCACCCACACACACATACAGCACCCTCACGCACAGCACACATACACCGCACACAGCACACAGACACACACAGCACCCTCACACATACAGCACACGCACATACAGCACACACATACAGCACCCTCACACACAGCACACACATAGCACACACATACAGCACCTTCACACATACACCACCCACACACACACACAGTACACACATACAGCACCCACACACATACAGCACACAAACAGCACCCTCACACACATACACAACACCCTCACACCAGCCTCATGCAGCACACACAGCAATGTATGTATGTGTGTGTCTGTGTGTATATATATATATATATATATATATATACATATACATACACACAGACACACACACACACATACATACACACACACACACACACACATACATATACACACGGCGTGTGTTTGTGCTTTATGGTACACACACTAATGCAATAGGCTGCGCACGCCTATGGTGCAAAATATTGTGAAACATTGCAGAGCAAATGTAAATACAACTCCCTCATTTGTAGGTAAAGCTACAGTGGTTGAATTTGTGAATGCTAAAATCCTGAAACTGTTAATCCAGAGACTGTGGCAGCCATGTTGTTTTATAGTATCCATTTTGTTTTGTGTTTTGCTGGAGCAAGGCATGATTGGGGTTAATGACAATATATACCCTGTTTGTTAGATTTCCTGATCTTTTACAGAGCCATAACCTTGGGGTGTTTTTTATTGTCACTTCATGCTATTTCTACTAGAGTATACCAGTTTTGACTTATGAGAAAAAAAAATAAAAAAAAATTAGTATAGAATGCCTAAAAAACTGCACTGGGTAAATGTTATCACCCCATTAAATTGTAATGTATATGTAGTTGTGACAAAAGGCCTTTTGTCACTGTTTTTTCACGTGACAAACTACCCTGTTCCCCTGGCTTATGGAGAAGCCTGATTGCCAGCCTCCTTCCTCATGATTATGGCCCTGGGGTGTATGGCCCTTTAAGAACAGTCTATGGGCATATTGAGACTTTTTGTGACAATGCCCCTTTAAGACAGTGTCCCCAGACTGTTAAACTACTTTGTGCATGTAATTTTCCTATTTGGTTCGGTAAATGGGGCTTACCGAGCCAAGTACTGCACAGACGGACCACACGCAAGTGGAAGTGTGCAGGCAATTTACCTCCCAGGCTGACAGTTAACTACAGGTTAATTGCCGACAGCTGGGTGGCTGCCATTCATACAGTCGAACACGTGGCGGTGGCCATCTTTGTTAGTCGAACGTGGTCAGCGTTGTGTGCCAGCAAATCCATGGAACTAAAATCGGCTACACATTTGCATGAACACCGCTGACCCTTACCTTCTCCTCCACTTTGACGTTTTGGTTGAAATCGAAGAGCGTTCGATGATTCAAACACACAGTGCCCCGTTCGTGAATTCGAATGGGACTTAGTTATTTTTTTGTGTAAAATAGACTGACTGCAAAGCCCAAATCTATGGAACTCTTTTGGGCAGGAAAGCCATGCTTGCGGTTGGTCAAAAAGGACTTCCATCTAACTTTTTAATCACTGGAGGGAACTGTCTGATTTTTGAGAATGTCTGTATTTGAAGTATGCTGGTTAATAATATGTCACTTTTATTAATATTGCATGTATACTTTAAAGTTATAAGAATTACATTAGCCCATTGTGTACACTAATTATATCACAGGCAGAGGGGAGGGTTTGTGTGTCCTCACTGGGAGTGTTTAACCGTATTATTATGTGTTTGATTGGCTGTGCAACAAGACCATGTAGGAGGTAACATTTTGTAACAACTTGCATATAAGACAATAAACACTCCGACTGCTGAGTTCCTGTTTTACCCTCAACATAGAGCCTCATCTCATGTGTGGGGAAGCACTAGGAGCATCCATCAACGGAGGTACTTGGTTGGACTACTGGAGCTCCGTTACAGTAGCCTTCTGTACAGAAGGCCTAATGAAAGTTAATGTGTTTGATGTCCTCGCATCTGTGTAGCAGAGCCTTAGTCCTGACCGGAACTTTCCTCCACTGGATCACAAATACTGGAAGTCAGGAACAAGAAATAGCCAAGTGAATAGCGCACCTCATCCCCAGGAACTGGAAAACACGGGAGTACAACTGATTTTATTCTGCTACACATGGCTTTTTATGCATTGGCCCCTAGCATGGGGATTTCACATAAAGAACACAGGGGTTTCTTCCCAAGAGCCTTTGTGTTTGAGAGATAGTTTAGCTCAAATTAGAATAACTCAATGATCTCTTAAATTCAGAAATTTACACACATAATTTCTAATATCCCAAAAATACAATAACCCCACAAAAATCATAGCCCCGAATAGCCCCGGTCTGAGGGCACAATATATCAAAAAAGTGCTCAGATCGGTTTGGTAGAACAACATTGCTGTTCAAATAAGGTTTTCTGGCTTTCGGGGGTTCCTGTATGAACACAACGAATGCTCCCCCTGGCTGTTATGGAGTGAAAGCTCCTCCCATCGTTCGTCTAGATCAGGGGTTCTCAACGTTAGTCCTCAGGACCCCTAACCAGTCCTGGGTTTAGGGATTACCTGGGTGTGTCAAAGGTGTTTAGAAAAAGAAAAAAAAACACCTTAGAGTCTAAGGTGTTATTTTCCGTTTTTCTAAACACCTGAGACACACCCAGGTAATCCCCAAATCCTGGACTGGTAGGGGGTCCTGAGGACTGGTTGAGAACCTCTGGTCTAGATGGTCGGGAAGTTGAGCAAGCAGCAGTACGAATTCTGCCCGGGTTCACGGAAACGCGAGGCCGAAAATAGTTCCAGGTGTTCGATGATCAGGTACTGCTGCCTGTGTTCGGGAGACAAAAAGGAAGGCACTCAAGATAATCACCAATTTGTGGTTAACAGCCAGGGAATGTCGGTGTTCGAAGAGGTGTAAAAGAGGGCACCACACACCATCCGTTCAGGAGACGAACAAAGGGGTACGGACAACCGAACACCAGGGAATTGATTTTTATACACTGCTCCCCCGAAATCACAAGCCGGCATACACCGTTTGATCCCAGAAGGATGGGCTTGGTGATGTCTGCGGGTGCCCACAGATCATTTTTCAAGTTCAGTCTGTCTGGACAACCGTTGGCATTTCAATTTTGTTTTCCGGGGTGGTCATGGATGGTAAATTCAAAGTGCAGCAACAACAAACTCCAGCGCAGCAGCCTGGCATTATTCCCGGCCACCCAGTTCAGCCAGACCAATGGGTTGTGAGCTGTGAGCATGGAGAATGGTTGTCCATACAAATAGGGCTGCAATTTCTTCAGGGCCCACACCACAGCCAGGCATCCCTTCTCAATGGTGGTGTAGCTTACTTTTCTGGGTAACAGCTAGCGACTGATGTAAGTCACGGGATGTTCTACACCAAAAAACGTTTAGTTGGATTGGGAGCTGCCAAGATGGGGGTATTTATAAGAGCTTGATTTAACCGCTGGAATGCCTGCTCACACTTCGGGGCACAGACAACTTGTCGAGGAAGGCTTTTATGGGTCAGGTCAGTCAGGGATTTGGCCAGGGCACTGGAGTTGGGGACAAACTTCCGGTAATACCCTGCCTTCCCTAAAAAAACTAATACATGGGTTTTGGTCCAGGGGGTAGGCCCCTGGGCCACTGCCTCAATCTTAGTGGGCTCAGGCTTCTGCTGCCAGTATCCCACTCAGTGACCGAGATACTGTACCTCGGCCATCCCTATATGACACTTGCTGGGTTTAAGGGTTTAGCCTGCTTCCTTGATCCTACCTAGGACTGCTCCTATATGGGCCAAGTGCTCCTGCCATGAAATACTATGGGAAAGACTTTGGCTCCATGGCAATTGAACTATATGTGTGTGATCTGAGCGCCATTCAGTAATAATGTGTGCTCAGATCTGAGCTATCTGGAGATATGTGTTCAATGGAGTTTTGCCTCTGTCCTTTGAGATAATTGGATTACTTCCCAATTATCTTCAGGATAGAAGACCCTGTGGAACTGGTTTTGGGCAGAAAAGCCATGCCTCATTTGGTTACAAAGGACTACGATCTATCTTTTGAACCACTGGACCAATTTGTATGATTTTGACGTGTGTTTGTATTTGGAGTATGCTGATTCTGAAAATGTATGTTTTATGTGAATGTGATGCATACTTTTAAGTTATGAATAATGCGGAAAAACTGTATTTCTCTACCTGTGATAATTACATTACCCATTGTGTAAGGTAATTGTATCACAGGCAGTGGGGAGGATTTTGTGTGGGAGTGTATGAGTGTATTTTACATGTTTATTGGTTGTTTTCCAAAACCCTGTGGGTGGTACTAATGTGTATATAAGAACAATAAACCCACAGCTCTGCCAGTTCCTGTTTTGACCCTCAACACGGAGCCTTGTCTCATTCTTTTGGGGGGGATTTATTGGATGCTGTTAAAGTTCGACTGCTAGGAGTGTAAACCTTTCGTATGGTTTTTCCTATTCGGCTGTTTATGGCATTCACATGCTTCTCCGGTTCGGTGGATTGGTGTCTACAGTAGATGTGCCTGGGTCTCTGGATCTACTAAACAACGGCTTTTAACCCCTTTTTATGCCTGGGGGTGCCATTACAATTGGTGGCAAGCGGTGGGATCATTTCCACAGCCCAGAAGGGCAGCTACAAGGAAACACCATTCTCTGGATTTACAAATTGAGGGCAACGCATGTATGAGTACAGCGACCCTGACAGCAGCAGGATGGAACCAGCAGTTTTATATGTTGAGGGTGTCATGGACGATCGAGATGCAGTCCGCAAAGGCATCTGGTACCAGGAAGCGAGGGACTCCCCAGTGAGGAGCAGCGACAGCAGACACAAGTGGCACTGCGGATGCCCCTCCTGGGAAAGCAGCCCCTGGAGGAGTGGATAAAGGAACTGAAGCAAAAAAACAATATGTTCCATTTCTAACAACTTGTCAGTTTGCAAAATCTCTTAAAGACAAAGTACACAGTTTAAGAAATACAACTTTTGATTTTAACACTTGTAATATTTGCATATGCCCATAACAGAAGCGAGTCGTACCATCCCTCTTCGGTATTAGGACTACTGGGGAGGCCCAGGGGCTGTCAGTCGGCTCAATCACCCTGAATCAGAGCATCTCCTCAATCTCCTTATGCATGCTCTCCCTTACCGATTCAGAGATTCAGTAGGTAGGCTGCCTTAGTAACGGACCTGTTGTTTCCCTCATGGTGAGTGGCCAGAGGAGTGTATCGGGGTACATTCGAAAAGGTAGCCCTCTTAGCGTCTAGTAATTGTTGTACCTAGACACGCTCCTGTGGGACCAACCTATCTCCCAACTGGACCTCCGCTAGTTCACCTGTCTGACTTCCCTCCTGTAGGAGATCTGGTAGGGGAAGGTCATCAAAGTCCTCTGAGACAGGGGCACAGATGGCTGCCACATCCTCTGCTCTTTCATGGTAGGGCTTCACAGCATGTTCACATGGAGCATGTGTAACCCTCTCGCTCCAGAGCTAGGGCTGGTCACATAGGTGGTATCGCATTTCTGCTCTGCCACCTTGTAGGGAACTTGCCAGGCAGCCTGCAGCTTGTCATTGCAGACATATTTAAAACTAAAACACTAAAACTTTCTGTCCTGCATGAAGACACTATAACTTTCTGTCCCACCTGAATGTTGCAGTCCCTGGCTCCCCAATCATACCATCTGCGTTGGCGGCTCTTTGCGGCCTGGAAGTTTGTTCGCACAGCTGTGGTTAATTCCTCCAGGTGATTATGGAACCAGGGCTTTCTTCCAGAGTCTCCGGAGGTGAACAACGGTCCATGATGCGGGCTTGTTGTCTCATGGTGACTGGGTATAGTTCTGCAGTTTGGATCGGTGGTGAGCTTGCCCAAAGTAGTCATTCCCCTGCTACTCGAACGGCTACAAAGTTACAGGTCTGTGCTGCATCTGGTACCAGGTGTCTGCGGACTAGGGTGAGGTTCACTACAATGACTCTTAGCCCTTGTACCTAATTTCCTTCTAGCTGTATGGTTTGCCGGTGGTGCTGTCTGTCATCGGAGGCTGCTTGGACAGGGTCTGCTTCATGCAGGATTTATGCAGGATTCCCAACTTTCCTCTGGTTGAACAGTAACGGAATGGTAGCTGGTTGTCTCAATCTGGTAACAGTGAGCAGCTGCCCGGCTCGGCAGAATCCACTGTGCCTAGGCCCTGTTTTGTGGGCAATCTCTCCGCATTAGACATGTGCATTAGTTTTTGTACAAATATGATTTCGTCCGAAAATTCGGGTGTTTTCATATTCGTTTACTAAAACGTAAATGAAAGCCCTACAAACTAAATATAAACGAAACAGAAGGGCAAATGCCGAATGCATTACCTTTTTGTTTAGTTTCATTTGTTTAATAGACTCTGTACTGCAAGGGAATTAACCCCGACAGTATGGAGAAATAACAGTGCGCATGCACAACAAAAAGGAACCAAGGAGGAAACCGGCAGTGTTACCAGCTCCCTCCTTGTAATAAATAGCTCACCGGCAAGGCTCCTCACCCAAATGAAGCCCCGTCCCTGTCATTTACCTGTCCGAGCACTCTGGTTGGCTTTAAACCAACCACTCAGAGCGCTCTGAGCCTAATTGCAGGATGTGGGAAGGCTTTATAAGCCTTTTCCCGCCCTGCATTACTCATTCTGCGCTGTGCTCTCCATGGGTGAAGAGGAAGAATTTTTTTTACCGTTGTGATTTTTTTTTTTTTTTTAGTTGTGGCGCCTATTATGGCGTTTTATTTGGCCTTTTTCACCTACAGATAATATGTCACTCCTCTCGTATACAGCTATTTTGTATCATTAGGGCTTGAAGTTCATGATGCTTAAATCCCGATGTAGTTAGGACAATCCCTACATCCCTCTAACTAGTGATTACATTCCTGACACACTGCTAAACCCCTTACTAGAACAGCTTTATACAACTTTATATGACCATTTTGTTTTTATCTATTTTCTGTATGTATATTAATGTACATATCATTTATGCATTGGCGTCACTCTTCCCCCCGACCGCTCTGCTTGCCATTCCTGCACTCGGATAGCGATCTGACACTCGAATCTGTCTGCCTCCAGATGACAGCTGAGTCTGTATCACGGAGGTTGCGTTCCAGCAGCTTCCCTGACAACCGGCTGGAACGCACACATTGAGCACATCTCCCTAACAGAGACCCGCTGTAAATTTCCATTGAAAGCCCACAATTTTTTGCCAACAGCTGCATTCATGGCAATCACTTGTATCATAATTATTGAGCTATTTAACCCCTTAAGGACCAAACTTCTGGGATAAAAGGGAATCATGACATGTCACACATATCATGTGTCCTTAAGGGGTTAAATACTGCAGTCACTGATGTTTCTGTATCCTGAAGAAAGTTCAGCATTAGAACTGAAACAGATTTTTTGTTGTTGGCACAGCATATGCTAAATAAAAGTTAAGTTTTACTTTTACATTGCTTTGAAGTCCCTGGAGTGCTATCTTTTTTCTGTATTTTGGATAATCTTGCAGACCAGCACCGGGCTAATTAATTTTCTAACACTCGGGAGTGCAAGTTCCTGGACTTTATATCAAAGTGGGCTGTGATGTCCGTGGGCATAGGCCGCTAGCAGTTAAATCTTGCAAAAAAAACAAAAAAGAAAGTATGCACCATGCCACAAGAATACCTTAAAGTATTTTTTTGTAAACCACTGAGATATTACAAGCACGTAAACCTCAGAGAGAACAAATAAACAAAAGAGGACAAATACTAGTGCAATAGAGTTTGGCAATATACAAAAGTCCAATAGAATTGCTTTGGAGAATTTCACTCACATCTTGCAGAGCTCTGCTGGATTGCGCATTGGACAGTGTGATTCGAGTCTCCGGATATATGCATATTCAAATAGCAAGAATTCTCAAAATTGGCCAATGTGATAACAGAAACAGAAAGAATCTCCAATAATGAGGTAAGTATGTACAGACCATAAATAAATAAAGAGTTGTATTTACAATTGCTAGAGCAGGACTTGCTCTAATGTTATAGGCCCGGGTGGTACAAACCCCACCTTAGAATACTGCAGATGGCAGGAAGTAGTAGGATGAATAGGTAAATATAAAGGCGATAAGGTAAATATAATAGAAAAGTTAACTTATGACATCAGAATAAAATAAAAAATATATGTATAAAAACAAATTAAATGAACCAACATGTCCAATAAGAATATAGGGAGCATACTTAACGCGTTTCACTTTTTAAGGCTTGGTCAGAAGTGTGGCAGGGTCTTCAAATATCCAAGTATATATAGGTAAATTATTGTTCACAATTACTTCCTAGTTGTCATGGTGCCGCAGGTTTCTGTCGGCATGGCCGTACTGAAAAACAGCGGTCATGCCGACAGAAATAACAAACACTTCTATTACCCGTGGCAGATCAAAGCCTGACCTCCTTCCATCCCGGTCCCCGGCGTGTGCAGCGTTAACAGAGATGCCGGCCGTTGTGGTTCTGTTTTTAATAAAGAAATAGCATTTGCCCATATCAAAGATGTCATAGACGTGCACACACGTTGTGGGGTCAGAGGTCTCATACAGCCAATTACAGCTTTAGGTCCATTATTTAAACCCAGATTGCCTTTTGATCAGGGCCCCTTGTGGTTTCCCTTAGCTGGTTATCAAAGAGTGTTCTTGATCATAGTATTTCTGGTATTTGACTTTGGCTTTGTTTGACTTCCCTGATTTCTGGTATCCTTGACTTTTGGCTTTCTCTCATCGTTGTGTCTCAATCTGTATCCCTGACCTTGGCAAGTATTTTGACTATTCTTGGATATGTTAAATCCGGCCGTTCTAATGTCCGGTTATACGATATCCTTAGTCAGCGGTGTCACTAGGGGGAAGGCTGAGGGGGCCATGGCCCCCCTACATCATGTTGTGCCCCCCTTGGGCCCCCCCAAATGCCAGCAACTTGCTGGCCATGTGCTTAAATTCTATTCCCTCTGGCTGTAACAGTGTATTACAGCCCGAGGGAGGTAATGGGGAGGAGCTCAGCTGCAACGGTGCTGGGGGCTGTCTGTGGCCGGAGGGAGCACTGACAGGCTCCCCGGCACAGGCACCGCCCCCAAACTAAGCCCCACCTCCTGCACATAAGCCCCGCCCTGCCGTTAACCAGCTGCTGCTGGAAAGGCAACAAGATGGCTGTCTGACTCCCAGCAACAGGTAAGCTTGATATGCTCAGGTGTGTGTGTCTGTCTGTCTGTCTGCTAGTGAGGAAGCTTGTGTGTGTGAGTCTGTGTGAGTGTGTATGGACTCAGCAATCTGTGAGTGTGTATGGACTCAGCAGTCTGTGAGTGTGTATGGACTCAGCAGTGTGTGTGTATGGATTCAGCAGTCTGTATGTGCGTATGAACTCAGCAATGTGTTTGTACGGATTCAGCAGTCTGTATGTGTGTATGGATTCTGCAGTGTGTGTGTATGGACTCAACAGTGTGTGTGTGTGTGTGTATGGACTCATCAGTCTCTGTGTGTGTATGTGGACTCAGCAGTCTGTGTGTGTTTGGACTAAGCAGTCTGCATGTGTGTGTGGACTCGGCAGTCTTTGTATGGACTCAGCAGTCCGTGTGTGTGTGTGTGTGTGTGTGAATGGACTCAGCAGTCCGTGTGTGTGTGTATAGACTCAGCAGTCCATGTGTGTGTGTGGACTCAGCAGTCCGTGTGTGTGTGACTCAGCAGTCCGTGTGTGTGTGGACTAAGCGGTCCGTGTGTGTGTGGACTCAGCAGTCCGTGTGTGTGTGGACTCAGCAGTCCGTGTGTGTGTGTGTGTGTATGTACTCAGCAGTGTGTGTATGGACTCAGCAGTGTGTGTGTGTGTGTGTACTCAGCAGTCTGTGTGTGGACTCAGCAGTCCGTGTGTGTGTGTGTGTGTATGAACTCAGAAGTCTATCTATATGAACTCAGCAGTGTGTGTGTGTATGGTCAGCAGTCTGTGTGTCTCTGTGTGTATGGACTCAGCAGTGTGTGTGTGTGTCAGTGGCGTCTCTAGGATTCATTTTTCAGGGGGGCACATGGAGGGCCAGTGACAAAAGTAGGGGGGCACATTTAACCCCGCCCTCGTCGCAGTTTGACCCCGCCCCTGTCGCAATGTGTTTTGTTTTTTTAATAATACCTGGTGGAGGATTCATTATTTTCCACCAGGGATTATTAAAAAAACCAAACACATTATCCTTGATACAGTGCCATAGTTGCCAACATTTGAAAAAAAAATTCCAAGGACATTTTGCAGCACAGCTATCACTTACTGTCTGGGTATAATATCCCTGGACAATCAGTGCTCTCTGTATAATACAGGGTTGTGTGTATAATAAATTGGGACACTCAGTGCTCTCTGTATAATACAGGTCTGTTTGTGTATAATATCCCGGGATATTTTATACACACAGATCTGTATTATACAGATAGCTGAGCATATACCCCAATCTCTAGACTATTAGTACCTGTCAACAGCAGCTCCCAGACGCGTGTAACAGGGCTAAAGTGTGCGGCAGCTCACACAGATTATTCAGCGGTAAAGTGCACTCGCTGGCAGAGTCAAACTGGGAATCCCTGGGAATCCAAAGCAGCCCTGGGAAAAAAACGTATGCTATTCCTACAAGTCAAAAAAATTAAAAAAAAAATATATATATAGTACAGTAAGCACACAAGCTCACTGACATGCGCAAATAGGCTTACTGACAGACAAAACTCTCTGACTCACACACAAGCTTACTACAGACACTCACTTGTATAAACAGAAGGCTCACTACAAAGAAGTTCAGGGACACTTACACACAATCTCACTAAAGACAAGCTCACTGACACACACATGCTCACTAAATAGAAGCTCACTGACACACACAAGCAGTACCATTTTAACAGAGTTAAGGGCCCCTGGGCAAAGCAATGGAATTGTAATTATTGATAGACTGCTGAGTCCATACACACACACAGAGATTGCTGAGTCCATACACACACACACAGATTGCTGAGTCCATACACACACACACACACACACACACACACAGAGTCTGCTGAGTCCATACACACACAGAGAGTCTGCTGAGTCCATACACACACACAGACTCTGCTGAGTCCATACACACACTGCTGAGTCCACACACACACTGCTGAGTCCACACACACAGACTGCTGAGTCCATACACACACACACAGACTGCTGAGTCCATACACACACAGACTGCTGAGTCCATTGACACACAAACTGCTGAGTCCATACACACACAGACTGCTGAGTCCATACACACA